GATACGACAATAAATTGCTTAAGTTTTGAATTATAAGACAGTCTAAGTTAAAGCCAATGCGCTCAATTGAAGTGTTTTCCGAGGTAAAAACACCTACTGATTAGCACGACGATCGCAAGAAAGTAATATATATATTATCATCTCCTCTTAATCCCAAAACAACCGCGTTCCTGAAAAAGAAGTCAAATTCCCACTTCGAAATGACAGAAGCCTTCTAGGAGACATCCTGGTGGAGGCTATGAATATCTCCGAAAAGTTCCCGGAGGAGACAAAATGGGGAATGGGGACAGAACTAATTGCAAAGATATTTGCACATCAAGGAACAACACACAGGAACGGATTTGCCCGAATACGCAAGACCCTGGAAACTAAGAATTAATTAGTCATTCAGGCGTATAATGGAAGAGCGACAGTGAAAATGGACAAAAAAACAATATACTGAGAAGATGGAATATATTCTACAGGGCAAAACTAGATATCATAAACTAAAGAAGGACCCAACTATGAAGATCACTGGAATCTTAAGGGTCATGCTGAAATATATGCACAGGAATGGGGAAATTGGTTCATGGACAAATAATTCAATCATAAGAAAGGATGCACGACCACCAAAAGCTTACGGATTACCGCAGATACACAAAGAAGGCGAACGACTAAGTCTGATAGTTAACAACGAGTATGTAGCAACATACAAATTGGCAAAGTTCATATGTTTGAAACTCAATAAATTAAAGATGTGAAGACCAAGATGTTGTGGTCTCGGGTATGGTCGCAGTCTCCTTTCGACTTATAGAAGTGGGTTGACCTCGTTGTCGCAACTTGGTCTTGTGCTTAGGGAGACTATGTAGAACGCACCGAGTCCGAAGTCGTCTGCAATAGGCAAAACGTTTGAGAATGTATCAAGTCCACGGTCGGATGCTGGGAATCAAGACAACTACTAGGGCAGACGACTTCGGACTCGGTGCGTTCTACATAGTCTCCCTGAACACAAGACCAAATTGCGACAACGAGGTCAACCCACTTCAATAAATTAAATTACAGGTTATCAGACACAGTGAGCCGTGACGAATTTGTAGCTTGGTGCAGAGAATGGCAAGACTCACTGATGATACCGACTACGATGCTGGCGAAACGTCTGAAAATGTACCAAGTTCGCGGTTTGATGCTGGCAATTATGATAACCACTATGGCCGCATACATGATCAGATCAGCCCCACTGAGATGAGATGAACGGTATTGAAATGAATTGTGCATCAGTAAAAAATTTGCATGAGGCCCAAAGTAGATATTAAATTTGTGTTCGATAGCAGGGACCATTTGTACAAGGTACTGGCTAAAATACGTTTATTGGTGTGATTCAATGCAAAACATTTTTCCAGACTAGGCAAATATACGCGATTCATAAATCAGACTAGAATCTTTTTAATGCCTAGAGTTTTATCACTTTTGCCTCTACTCTATCCGAAAATATTTGAAGGGTTCAAGATTTTGCTTCCCCCATACACCAAACTGTAAATAAATAAATGGATAAGTAAAGTAAGCGAATTTCCTCCTACCTTCACGCCGCGACTGCGAACCACTCATCATAAAGTCTAATCCCCAGAGCACATTCTATATCGCTCGAGAACGTGGACGCCACTTTCAGCTTGGATACACTTAAAGATGTTAAGAAACACAAATTTGATCAAAATCTGAAATCGAGCACCATTGGTAGAGATGGTAATGGCCTACAGATTTCTAAATATCCACCAAGTGTGATAGCGCAAGACCAAAAAAAATTAATTTCATAACCACGTGAGGGAATAGTTGATTCCATAGCTTTGCTATAAAATATGAAAAGAAGTGAAGTGGAATGTTTCTTAGCCTTTATAGCAACACTTTTATTTCGATTTGGAAGATGCTAGCAGTAGAATAAATAGAAGACTCTTATCCAGCGCGCGATTGCGATTTCCTCGCAGATTTTTCTCTAAGGTGTACGCGATGGTTTTCAGCATGTGTTTTCGAGGCCAAAATTGATATTAGCAGTGCCAGCCGCATACACACACATACACACGCATACACACACAAAGTCTAGTCTGGATGACTAGACTTTGAAAGTCTCAGTAGATCCTAAACAAAGACTTGAGTTTGTCTGGCGAGATAATTCCTATCTTATTTTAGCTTCTGGTACGTCAAGTCAAGTGATCCTTTATCGTGTGCACTTCATGAAGATCGAAATGATCTTCTTATGCGCATCACAAAGGGTTCCACGAAAACCAATTTTCTATCTTAAAGTATACAATTAGTGTTATTATCAAATTCTCGATTTCAATAAAGCAATCAATGAATAAAAGAAAGGGACATGAATAGATGCGTCTGCACTTACGGCTCCATACGGTCATCCATCTCTTATCAATAAGCATCTATAATTCTGCTGCCCATAAAATGTTGTTTTTATCCTTTATGCCGCTAATTGCCAGGCTAAGTAACTAAATGAAATCATATATTACTGTTATTTGAATGCTTCTTCGACATGCGAATACTAATAGTCGGATCAGATGGGGTTTGGGGATGCTTTTCTTGTTGGTCGGCATATTAGCTACCTAAGCCGGATTTCGTAATATATAAAGACCAAAAGAGAGTTAGACTTTGATTAATTTGCGGCACACTTTTGCTGTTTATACTTGGTTTTCACAACTTTTTCATGCCCTCATGGGGACTTCGATGAACACATCTCGCACTGAATCCTCTGCCTATGTTATACTATCTGATATCTTTATTAAGAAGTTTACTCATTCTAGGTCGCATATGTTTTGGACTGCTGATTAAATTTATTAAGTAAATGAGTTTAGCCAAAAATGCCGGTAATTTCTCATCATCACTTTTGAAGGGATTGAAAACCTGTTCGTGCGCCTAAACTGACGACATTTTACCACTTAGACACATGGTCCATCCTGGTTGAGTGACCATTTTTATTGGTAATGCAGGGTAAATTAAATGGGATCCTGAGGTCTCCTCATTTCATTGTGGAAAAATTTAACTAAAATTTCGACCAATGAAGTTTAAGATGACTAAAGTGCTTATCAAGATTTTCTTAACCTGATGATATCATTAGATTATGTCCGCCTGCTATGTGTATTCAGTTGCAGTTTCCCTTCCAGGAAAGTGCAAAACTAACTTGTTTCGACCACTATTTAGGAGTAGGTACTCTTTTCTCTCAAACAAGTCTTACTGAATGGTAACTATCTGAAGATAGGGTTCAGAAGTGTGCGAGGAAAAGTTGGGTTTCGAGGAATCTGTTGTTTCCTAATTGTTGAGCCTACTTCCATTCCGAGTGGAAGTGTTGGGTGAAGAGATTCGCAGGTCGATTCCATCAGAAGACGACGGCGGATTCCTCTTGACCAGATGTCGATTGGCTTTACTGGAGCATTCATGCTGACGCTGTTTCCGAGGTAACACCATTCGATTCAAGTGAGAAGGTGGTAAGCTTTCGAGTGTCATGTGACGAAGATCATCAGAGCAAGGTATCATCGTCACAACCAAATTCAAGCTAACGAGTCAAAAAAACTCGTTGGTCAAGAAGAATCCGCCGTCGTCTTCCGGTGGAACCGACGTTCGATTCTCTTCATCCAACACTTTCACTCGAAATGGAAGTAAGCTCAACAATAGAGAAGTGTGGTCAAATATTGGCCGAAAATGAGAGGTGTGAATGGCAGATAAAAGATTAAATCCCCCTTATACAGCAAAGAACAATCATTTATCAGTCAGGTAATAGAATTTCAATTTATCTCATTAAACAACTACCTACCTGTGCTTTATTTCTGCAAGTACCATTGTTGCTAAGTTTATTATCTATGTCTGGAGAGAATCTGTCCATCATATATCGTTTCAGTACCATAAGCGAAGACATATTTCTCGAATGGCAGAAGTGGCATTCAAAGAGATACTAACAGGAAAGGAGGAATGAAGAGTTCCACCAGCAGGAATCTTATTTCATTGCTATTTCAATAACAAAAAATTAAAACAAGCATTGAGAATAATATGAAAGCCAGGAATTGCTTCGCGGTTAGGCTGATAAACCCGTTAAATTTTGCACATTTAATCGTAACTTGATTTAAGAATGAAATTCCTTGATTATCTAACTTATTCCCCTTATCCCCTTATTCTATTCGTTTAAGTAAAGACCCCAAAGTGCATTCTAACGTTTATTGTTTTATTCTCTCTAATACTCCACACTTTCGGCTTAGCTTCCATTTTTATTCTCACAGTTTGATTTTTGTATTTTGGGAGAACTGAGCTTTTATTATACCTGCATTCTATTTACTTCTTCAGGATCCACCATTTATGCCGATGATATCGTAAATGAGTCTGCCAAAAAATTCTTTTATTCTTCTTCCCATGAATTTCGATAAATCTTTTTTATTTATTGCATCCATTACACTCCTTTTATTCCTTTTCTACCTTTACTCTTTTATTCCATTTTGGAGTACCTTTCATTTCATTTGAAGAGGTGAGTGGAAGGGATTAATAAGTTGGTTTTACCGTAGGCTATGGGGGGGTTTCCTTGGAGCTGTGGTTGTAGATTTGTGCGAATAGGTCTCCGGCACACGGCTCTGTGACCCAGATGAATCCTTGCTGAGCTTTTGTCTGCTATACTCCAAAGCAACCCCCTCACAGCCTCCGGTGGAACCAACTTACGATTTCCTTCCACTCGCCTCTTCAAACGAAATGAAAGGCACTCCATCATGAATCTATTGAGGGATTCTTCGAAACCCAGTTTTTCTACATACCTTCTTATATTACATTTATTTTAAGACGCTTTTTAACTTGTATTGGAACTAACATTTGGACCTCGCTTAGGGCTGTGTCTTTGTATTCATCAGCAGCTCATCAGACTATGCTGGCTTAACGGCAATAAGGAAATAAGTCTTGCATAGTTTAGGGCAGGGCAGGACTCTCAGCACACACACGATGGAGATTTATTGAATATTAAAACTTTCACTTTCCTCTACATTTGATACATGGAAACCGAGAACTTCTTCAGATCTTCCTTTGGCTGCACGGATGGGTTTCGTGGAGAAGAAATATGTTTTTCAACGAAACACCACCACTTCCAATTCCTTTATTATTCAGGTCAACTGAAGATGCATGAAGAAACTGTCGAGGATCTGGTCTCCGCCACTTGCCTCCTGCAGATGACAGAGGTTCGTGAGGCTTGCGAAGAATTCCTTGCACGCCGGCTACTACCCGCAAACTGTCTCGGCATGATTCGCTTTGGTGAACAACGTGACTGCTTATCTCTGAAACGAGTCGCTTTTGAGTATGCTTTGGTGAGTCAAAAATAGGGCATTTACTTCTTCGATTGCTACATTCATTTTCAATATCCCATATTCTGAATGAGTAGGCCTCCAGTCCAAACCAATTTTATCAGCCATTGTTGAATGAAGCTATAGTACATGCATAGGGGGGTTCAAAACTTGTTATTGGTATGGGTTATCTTTACGTTTTGGGCACCACTAATTTCCTCCAATCATGATCCTTTTTGCTGTGTTTTCGTCTGACTGCATAATACATTAGGAAACCGAATATCTATCCTAGGTAAGCAGAATACAAGATGTCACTACAAAATGATGAGTAGAGCTGACAAAAAGGAGTCTTGAAGGGTTAATATGGGAGGTCCGTGTCGAGCTAGTCGACCGTCTAGTTGCACAACTGTCTGACATGTTCAAAGCACTCTGCTTAACTATCCCGGGGATCACTTAGATCATTTTGAGTGAGTACGCAGGTACTATGACTCACTGCGTCCCTGTGGGGACATCAAGAGAATATGATACAGAATATACTTTTCATCCAAGGACACCTATGCGGGGACCGGATAGCTGTTTATGTGATTATGACATACCATAACCTTTAAGGGGATACGTGCAATCAACATTAAAATGTAAAGAAAGATGTGAATGCATTTGTACATGACTCTTGGACTTCTCGTGTATGAAAATACAATTCAACCTTTATATTAGCCTAACACAATGCCGCTTTTCTCTCACTCTGTCGTTTATATTATGTTTTTAGCCAATCTTCTGACACCGCTTTTTTGAGCATTACAAAAGGAATAGACTATGATCAAACATGACTCTAATATGACTTTCCGAAAAATTTTCATTTTTAGGCACGATCAAAATTTATTTCGGAAATATGTTTATCTCTCAACGAATCTGAAAGAATCTGACAGTAAAGCAAATGGAAGAACGGCGCACTATATGCCTTTACATCAGACTTTCTGTTTATAAGCCCGGTGACAGTTCCAAATAAGGGCCTGAAACGACTATTCAGGGGACAGAAAATCAGAGATAAGACAAGTGTGATTTAGGACTTTACCTTCATCCTCTGAGCAAAACGAGGTCAAGGATATGCCTCGTATACAAGCTCAGCCTCGGCTGATGTGGTGTGATGGCTACAGACGCTTTGGGATGCGCTATCAGCACAGACACAAAGTATACTACCTGCATGCCCGGTCTAATTGTGTAAGTTTGGAAGGCGAGAGGGAACATTCATTGAGCTTTTATGATCTCTAGAATACTACAATATTCAAATGCTGATGAAAAATTAAGGTTACAATTGAATGCGCAAATGTTATTCATGACTTGAATATGATTATAGTTTAATCCAATATATGAATTTCACTGCAGAAAATAGTAATGATAAGCTTTTTCTCTGCACATGTTGCTGTACTAGAGAATGATTATTTCGTCAATCCATCATTATAGTAGGGCATTTGCTTCACTTTTCTATGAACTGATCAGGTTAACTATTTCAATAAATTCCCCTCAGAAAACCCAGCCTCTTTCGCCATCCTATTTAATGCAGGTAGTGCAGCGTATGCTTTCTACATCTTAACACTACGCCAAACTGCAACAAGTGTCAGTAGAAGACGTGAAACCTAGAGGCAAGCCAGGTCTCTCTACTACCAAATTTATAGTTGTATTGTCGATGAGACAAACTTGTATTTTTCCATTACAATCAACTACGTTACTTATAGTAATTTCAAGTAGGTTTCGAGACTATCAGTGAATCAGATCTATGAGTTATGTTTACCCATATTTCATTTAAGGTGATGAAGGATGAAGGAAATAGGGTGAATATAGCTCATAGATCTGATGTACTGGTAATCACGACAACCTAATCAAAACGAAATACTATCAATTGTTTGACATTGTTTTCGCAACTTGGTCATATTGGTAGGAAGACTTATAGGAACGCACCTTGTCCTGAG